GCTTGTTAACAATATGATGAGCTGTCACTGAAATAATTTTAACAGCTGTCGGACGAGTGTCATGGAAATGACAGCAGTCTGAAGTTGGTTGAAGTTGTTCATCTCATGGTGGACAATAGCCGTAAAATCGGATGAATATGTATATCGAAGGTTTTTATAAAATCTGAACCGGCCCAGATAAAATTGGGCAGAGGTTCGATAAAAATTGGCAGGAGCTGTATCTGATGTCCGGTATCAAATTTTTGTAGAGGGCATATTACGCAAGTGAGAGACTTTAATACCAAATCGGATGAAACATATACATGTATGAGAGTTATAGCTATATCTGAGCCGATTTTCACAAAATTTGATGTACTTTCTTCTAGACTGAATTCGGTCGGATGTGCCAAAATTCAGGACATTTTGACTGATATTGGCTATTTGGTGCACAATTAACCGGAAATCGGTTGAAGATGTATATGTGGAAGCTACATCCAAGTCTGAACCGTTCTTGATACAATTTTAGGCAATTATTTCTGAGCTGTATCGGATGTCCGGTATCAAATATGCTTATTGTAGAGGGCATATTAAGGATGTAAGGTACTTTAACACCAAATCGGATGAAACATATACATGTATGAGAGCTATAGCTATATCTGAGCCGATTTTCACAAAATTTGATGTACTTACTTCTAGACTGAATTCGGTTGGATGTGCCAAAATTCAGGTCATTTGGACTGATATTGGCCCTTCGGTCGACAAATTAACCCGAAATCGGTTGAAGATATATATGGAAGCTATATCTAAATTTGAACCAATACTCATCAATTTCAATAGGGCTCGTCATTGGGCCAAATAAATTTCAACCTATTCTCACCAATTTCAATAGGGCTCGTCCTTGGGCCAAACAAAAATATCGTTTGGAAAATTTCATCTAAATCGGATAATAAATGCGACCTGCATTTTGTTCACAAAAATACATGGACAGACGGACTGACATACACAAATGCACAAAGACATAATACCCTTACCCCTATGTGGTGCAGTTGCTGTTTTTTGCGATTTTTATACCCTACACCACATAGTAGTAAGGGAATTTGTGAATTTGTTTGTAACATGGAGAAGGAAGCGAGATAGACCCATAGTTACTTTTGAGGATCTCCATAGAATCACTTTCTGAGTTGATTTAAGGATCTCAGTCCGTCCGTCCGTCTGTCCATGTGTTCTTGTGAACAAAATTCAGGTCGCATTTATTATCCGATTGAGACATTTGTTTGGCCCAAGGACGAACTCTATTGAAATTTGAGATAATCGGTAAAAATTTAGATATAGCTCCCATATATATCTTCGTCCGATTTGCTTTTTATTGTGCACTAAACTTATAATATCAGCCCGAATACTATGGAATTTTGCACATACAACCAAATTAGGCCTGAAAAAAAGTATGCCAAATTTGATCGAAATCGGTTCAGATATAGCTATAGCTCCCATATCCATATTGTTCATCCGATTTGTTATTTTTGTCCTCCGCAGCCGTAATATGCCCTCTATAAAAACAATTATTGGGGAAATATATCAAATGCAGCTCAGAAATACTTTTGCTAAATTTTATCGAGATCGGTTCAGATTTGGATATGGCTCCCATATATAACTTCTTCTCATTGAACTTTTATTGTACACCAAATGTCTAATATTTGCCCAAAATGGATGGAATTTGGCATATGCGACTGAATTGAGTCTTGGAAGCTAGTATGTCAAATTTGGTGAAGATCGGTTCAGATATAGCCATAGCTCCCATATATATTGTTCATCCGATTTCTTGTATTTGTTACCCACAGCCGTAATATGCACTCCGTAACAACGATATTCAGGGAAATATATCAAATACAGTTCAGAAATATCTTTGCCAAATTTTATCGAGATCGGTTCCGATTTGGATATAGCTCCCATATATATCTTTATCCGATTTCAAATAATTTGTGCACCAAATGGGCAATACAAGTTCGAATTTAAAAGATACAAATGCTTTGGCATATTTATTCCTTTGAACTTTAAATAATAATTATAATCATAGCGTGTATGATTAAATTCTCCCATAAAAACTTTTAATTGTTATATGGAGCTCTACTAAATTAGCAAAGTGGTGTAGGGTTTTAGGACTTTCTTTACTGGTTTAATTGTTTTCTTGTGATTTTTATTAAAATAAACACTGGCATCACTGCCATTGAGCATTATTCCCTCTCAAACTGCATGCGGTGTTTACTCTCTCAAATTTTGATTGAGAAGCACACACAAGAAAGAGAAAACTTTCGCTCAGTGCTCCAACTGTTGTTTTGTTATTGTATTTGGGGGGCTGTGCAAAGAGATGATGGTTGTTGGTCGATGGCTGTGATGAATGGATGTAGAAGAAGAAGAAGAAAGGAAGAAAACAAAACAATCAAAGAAATGAAATGAAACCGAATGAATGCGAAAAACAGTACGCTTTTTTGCAATTGGGAACCCCAAAAAGCAGTTCTTTACAAACACTCAACGTGAGCGGATGTTTTGAACGCGTCGCGTGTCTTTGCTCGCTTTTGCTGTCAATCGGGACGGTGTGATTTACTTACAACTGCCTACTGTTACAGAGAGAAAGAAATAACAACAAGAAAAATATCAAATTTTGTTATTGTTTTCGATTGAATGAAAGAAAAAAACAAAGAACTGGTGCATTATTATTCCGTGTTTCCGTTTTGTTTTGCTTGGATTTGCATGAAAACGAAAGTTAGGGGAATCTATGAAATTTTGTGGAAGAAAAAAGTAAGAAATTGTAGTAGAATTCTTGAGATTCTGTGAGGGGCAGAAAAGTGATGCTCAAGAGGGCATCACTTGCGTGTGTGTGTGATAAATACGTATCGGAGATAAGAAAATTTTGTAACCCACGGCTTCCAAATGGTGTAACAATGTTCCGAGTAAAGATTCGAGATGAAAATTGAGATAATATTTTGAATTGATGTTTTGAGTGCAGAATTGTGTAGTTGTATATGTTCTCAGACAAACCGCCGGTAAATATTTATGATATTTTGACAAAGTGATGATAAATTGTTTTGAATTTCAAGCAACTTATTTGATATTGAATTGAAAAAAAGCAAAACAAAGCAAGTCAAAAACCCATCGCGTGTCCCATTGCAGTTCCATGCATTTTTCTTTGGCTCCTAGAAGTGGTTGCTGTTGTTAATGGCCAAAGCTGGAAAAAAAAACGCAAATTCAACAAAACCGACATTGAGTTTTGAATAATTCATTAATGGATTCATAAACAAAACTACTTCTTTGAATTGAAAAAAAAATAAAAAAATAAAATAAAATAATTCCAGTCCCACTCAGTGCCCATGAATTGAAAATAAAACAAGTAAGAAAAGGCTACAGTCGAGCGGGGCCGACCGTTGAATACCCTACAACACTATAATAAACGATACAGTTTATATAGGCGAGATACTCGAAAGAATTCCACAAGATATTGTGACAAATTATAAAAGAAAACCATCAGGTTTCGTTCTCTAATTTTCGAATAATAGCAACTTTAACTAATTTGCTCATTTCCAATTTATTGGTAGATGTTGCACTTAAATGGTCTTCCTAGATCTGGAACCAATATTTCCCAAAGACCTATAATTTCTTAGAAGTGGCAAAAGATTAACATTTATTATTGGTTTTTGACTGAAACGCATCTATATGAGATACAGACATTTGACTATATTCGTTAAAGAAATAGTCAGAAGTGCGTCTTTCCTGTATTTGTGAATTCTCGAAGAAGTCTCTGGAATGGACATTTTCGTATGTTGTCTACAAAAGTTGGCAAACTATTTCAAACATTGAATATTTTTGGATGGCCATCCAAAACTGCTTGGCTTTTGCAATGTCCGGTAACCCCCTTTCAAATGTGCGTGAGGATCGGGCGATAATTACGACCTGCCGACAATTTTGCAGTTTTTTGGTCCATTTCAACCCCTAAATATATGGCGATCATCTCCAAAAAGAGTAGGCTTCTATTCTGACCCTCATCTTATCCCCATGCAAAATTTCGTAAGGATCGGGCCATAAATGCGATCTGTATATGACATCCTGGTATCCTAACTACTTAGTTTTGTTAGCTGTAGAAATATTACCAAATGTTTAATTCAAAATGAAAATATGCCAAAAATATGACAAAATTGAAAAAATATGAGAAAATTTTACAAAATCAATATTTTCATCTTTAGAGAGATATTTTTATGCGATTTTTTAGACGTTTTTTCTTTTCTGCCAAGAGGCCATTCTGAATTAATGAGAACTGTCGAAATCAGTTCAGCCGTTCTCGACATATAAGAGATCTTTCAAGCATATCTTCTTTGAATAGACATAAATATCGCACATATTTTGCTATATATCCGATTTGTTGGATGTTAACATCAATGTAAAGGTCAGAAGTAACCTTGTCAAGGCTTTGTGATTTCGCCGGGATTTAAAATATTCGCGGTTTAATGAAAAATTTTGAATTTTTTCAACACAAAATATATGGTCTATTTTACCCGCTAAATATTATCCGATGACCACCCAAATTGGTAGGCTTCTTCCCCACCCTAAACCCTAGCTACATGCGAAATTCCGCGTCGATTGGTCTATAATTGCGACCTGTATAGCTACTGCAAAATCCGACATTTTTTCAGTATTTGGTCCATTTCAACCCCTAAACATTTGGCGATCATCTCAAAAAGAAATAGGGTTCTATTCTGGCCCAACCCCGACCTCCATTCCAAATTTCGTGAAGATCGGGCCATAATTGCGACCTGTAGAGTGATTACAAATTAACATGGACAGACGGACAGACGGACAGACGGACAGACGGACGGACGGACATACATAGCTAGATCGACTCAGCTCGGCGAGCTAGGATGATCCATATATACTTTCCTATGTGGGAAACCAATATTTCGTGGTGTTACATAATTTCTGGCCCAATCAAACTTATAATACCCCCAACACATAGTGTTGTAGGGTATAAAAATAGAAAAAAATAATATTTCAAAAAGGAAAATCTAATCAAGAAAGAAAAAACAAAAAAACAAAAAATAGTTATTACACAGCCCCGGGTTCCGGTGTTCAATGCCAACACATAATTGTTAATAATTTGCATAAAGAGTGGAAAAAGTGGTCTCCGTCGTCGTCCAGCTCCCCCCCCCCCTATTCTGGCGTTTTTTATGATTTAATTAATACAGCGGGGAACAGCATTCATTCGCTCGTTCATTGGCGTTCTTTGCTGGGTGACTGACTGACTGATTGTCAAGCTGCATGTCTGTCTGGTTTGGTTGTTTGGCTGCTGTTGCATTCTTTCAATTGGAGTATTGAATAACGGTAATTGAATCTGTCATACTTTTTTCCTATCTTTGTTTTTTTTTCGTTTGCTTTGCTTTGTGGAGAAATATTAATAGCTAAAACAAATAAAAATAACACCCGCATCATTCCATTGGTATTGAAATATGGAAAACTGTCGTCAACAGCTTGACAAGCGTCTAACTTTGTAGCAATGCATTTTTTTTATACGCCAAAACTTATGACTGCAGTGGGTTGGAATTGGATTTATGGGTACTACGATCTTTTCAGTGTTAATAGGTTTTAGGCGTGATTTTTTGACAAATATTTTACAGATGGAAAAAATGTTGGGTTTTCCAGCATCACCATTCCTTCTACGACAATCCGAAAGCAGTCAATTTAACGATGAGCGTCGGTCTGTTTAAATCTTACAGAGTTCCATGACATACCGTGACATTGTCCTCATTCTCAAGATTTTTAAACCACAGTTAAAATCGAACTTAAATAGTCCTCTATAGATGTATTCACTCTAAGGATATGTGTCCGCAAACAAAAATTGATACTTCGTGGTTGTTCAGTTAGTTAAAAATATTTTTTTTCGTTTTGAATTTTCAAACAAAAGTTTTTTGGATCTTCGATTTTTAAACCCTCCACCATAGTACGGAGGGTATATTAAGTTTGTCATTTCGCTTGTAGCACCTCGAAGTATACATTTTAGACCCCACAATCAGCATAAAATTTATGTCGATTTAGCGATGTCCTTCCGTCTGTGGAAATCACTCTAGCTTCCGAACGAAATTAAGTAGGTTTATAAAATTTTACTCAAATGTGTACAATATCTGCAGGACTTTTGGTATTGAAAATGGGCCAATGAGGTCCACGTCTTCGTATAGCCCCCATATAACGGTACCTCCCGATATTCGTTACTTTGTTGATTTTAGTGACATTATTCACCGGAATTGTTTCAATTTTGGTATTTGAAGTTCATAATAGATACTACGGCTAAAGACAGATAATGGGTCCACGTGTTCGTATAGGCCCCATATAACGGTAACTCCCGATATTGGGTATTCCGATGGTTTTAGAGACATTAATTACCGGAACTTTTTCAAATTTTGTATATGAAGTTCGTAATGAATACTACAGCCTATGACAAAAAAATTGTCTGAGCAGGTCCACGTCTTCGTATAGCCCCCATATAACGGTACCCCCCGATATTCGGTATTTTCATGATTTTAGCGACATTATTTACCGGAACTATTTCAAATTTGGAATTTGAATTTCATAATGAATACCACAGCCTATGACAGGGAATTGTCTGTGTAGATCCATGTCTTCGTATAGCATCCCCCGATATTCGCTATTTCGATGATTTTAGCGACATTATCTACCGGAATTGTTTCAAATTTCGCATTTGAAGTTCGTAATAGATACTACAGCCTATGACAGAAAATTGTCTGTGCAGGTCCACGTTTTATAACCTCCATGGTACCTCCTTATATTCGGTATTTTGATGATTTTAGCTACATTATAAACATATTTTTTTTTCAAGTTTCGCATTTGAATATTGTAATAGCTTGTGACAAAAGTTGCCTATGCAAGTCCACGTCGTCGTATAGACCTTAATATACGGCTACATTCGGTATTTTTAATATTTTAACGGAATTTTAAAAGGATTTTTTTTTTGAAATTTGTTAAATTTTTACCATATACCGAACTTACAGCTTTTTATACCCTACAACACTATGTGTTGGGGGTATTATAAGTTTGATTGGGCCAGAAATTATGTAACACCACGAAATATTGGTTTCCCACATAGGAAAGTATATATGGATCATCCTAGCTCGCCGAGCTGAGTCGATCTAGCTATGTATGTCCGTCCGTCCGTCTGTCCGTCTGTCCGTCTGTCCGTCTGTCCATGTTAATTTGTAATCACTCTACAGGTCGCAATTATGGCCCGATCTTCACGAAATTTGGAATGGAGGTCGGGGTTGGGCCAGAATAGAACCCTATTTCTTTTTGAGATGATCGCCAAATGTTTAGGGGTTGAAATGGACCAAATACTGAAAAAATGTCGGATTTTGCAGTAGCTATACAGGTCGCAATTATAGACCAATCGACGCGGAATTTCGCATGTAGCTAGGGTTTAGGGTGGGGAAGAAGCCTACCAATTTGGGTGGTCATCGGATAATATTTAGCGGGTAAAATAGACCATATATTTTGTGTTGAAAAAATTCAAAATTTTTCATTAAACCGCGAATATTTTAAATCCCGGCGAAATCACAAAGCCTTGACAAGGTTACTTCTGACCTTTACATTGATGTTAACATCCAACAAATCGGATATATAGCAAAATATGTGCGATATTTATGTCTATTCAAAGAAGATATGCTTGAAAGATCTCTTATATGTCGAGAACGGCTGAACTGATTTCGACAGTTCTCATTAATTCAGAATGGCCTCTTGGCAGAAAAGAAAAAACGTCTAAAAAATCGCATAAAAATATCTCTCTAAAGATGAAAATATTGATTTTGTAAAATTTTCTCATATTTTTTCAATTTTGTCATATTTTTGGCATATTTTCATTTTGAATTAAACATTTGGTAATATTTCTACAGCTAACAAAACTAAGTAGTTAGGATACCAGGATGTCATATACAGATCGCATTTATGGCCCGATCCTTACGAAATTTTGCATGGGGATAAGATGAGGGTCAGAATAGAAGCCTACTCTTTTTGGAGATGATCGCCATATATTTAGGGGTTGAAATGGACCAAAAAACTGCAAAATTGTCGGCAGGTCGTAATTATCGCCCGATCCTCACGCACATTTGAAAGGGGGTTACCGGACATTGCAAAAGCCAAGCAGTTTTGGATGGCCATCCAAAAATATTCAATGTTTGAAATAGTTTGCCAACTTTTGTAGACAACATACGAAAATGTCCATTCCAGAGACTTCTTCGAGAATTCACAAATACAGGAAAGACGCACTTCTGACTATTTCTTTAACGAATATAGTCAAATGTCTGTATCTCATATAGATGCGTTTCAGTCAAAAACCAATAATAAATGTTAATCTTTTGCCACTTCTAAGAAATTATAGGTCTTTGGGAAATATTGGTTCCAGATCTAGGAAGACCATTTAAGTGCAACATCTACCAATAAATTGGAAATGAGCAAATTAGTTAAAGTTGCTATTATTCGAAAATTAGAGAACGAAACCTGATGGTTTTCTTTTATAATTTGTCACAATATCTTGTGGAATTCTTTCGAGTATCTCGCCTATATAAACTGTATCGTTTATTATAGTGTTGTAGGGTATTCAACGGTCGGCCCCGCTCGACTGTAGCCTTTTCTTACTTGTTTACTTGTTGAACTTAGTTCTTCTAAGACGATTTAGCCCTGTCCGTCCGTCCGTCTGTTGTAATTACGCTAGAGTCACAACGGTTTAAGATTGGAAGCTAAAATATTGCACAGATCAGTCCTTTGTCTGCAGGCAGGTCAAGTTAGAAGATGAGCTTTATCGGTCCACGATATCGTATGGCCCCCATATAACGGTACGCCCCCTCGATATTCGGTATTTTGGTGATTGTAGCCATATTTTTAATAGAATTGTCTAAAAATTCGCGCAAGGAGTTCCTTCTGAGTATTTTAAACCCTGGAAGAGAATTGTCTATATAGGTTCACGATATCTTATAGACCCCACATTATGGTACCTCCCGATATTCTGTATTTTGATAATTTTAGCTACATTTTTGAAGTTCGGAATCGATATTACAGGTCTTCGCATATCCCCTATATAACGGTTATCATTTAAGTGGTATTTTTCGACGATTTTTTTAAAATTATTCAAGGTCCTTAAGACTGGTGGAGGGTATTAAAAGCTCGGCCCGGTCGAACTTAGATGCTTTTTACTTGTTTCATTTGATACAACCAAAACGTGCCTCATCGAAACAACGTTGGTCTCTTTGGACCAAATCCGTTTCGGGACATTTGTAGTCGATACAGGGGTGTCTGTCCATCTGTGTGTTTGTCTGGCTGGTGCGCACAATAATTCTCGAAGGGATTATTGGATTTGATACAAACTTGACACATCGTAATATTATTATTAAACTAAGATCGAGATGGGAGACAATATCGGTCGACTCATTCTAGTACCTCCCCTATAAAAGCTAAACAATTTTATAGACAATAATTTACCTTATAGAACAAGAAAGGGTTATCCAATCGTACATTTTTATCAGTGCTAGGTTGGGTGTGAAAGTGGACAATATATGCCCACTCAACCAAGTATCTCCCCCACAAAGGGTCAACCTTTTGAATGTTATGATTATCTTATAAAATGCAAAATAAGAGTCTGATTGCCCTCGAGTTTCTCATATTACCTCAATATTTTAACCAGCACAAGATGTGGTGTGAAGATGGAAGATATCAATCCACTCCTTATGGTACCATGAAGCTTATAAATCCCGATATGAGCATCCGATTATTTTAAAACTTGTCACATACTAATAATGCTATTAACACATAATAAGGTTTGAAGATGGAATATGTCAGACCTCTCCTTCTGGTACCTCCCCCACAAAGGGTCAGAATTTTAAAAAAATTATTTCTCATAAAAAGCTAATTATTTGGATATTGCTGCTTTATCCAATTTTAGATTTTTTGTGATTCCGATTTTCAGTTGAAAAGTTTTTATTTATTTTTTTTAAATAAAAAAATATATATCGTTTCGATAAAAAAATATATTAGTAAAAATTCCAGTTTTTTTTGGTCTTTGAAAAAACAATCATTACGATCCCCATGTCTGTTGGTCCTTGAACAAAAATATTATTTAAAAAATCCACGTCTATTGATCCTTGAAAAAATTATTCTTTTAAAAAATCCACGTCTGTTGATCCTTGAAAAAAATTTTCTGTAAAATCCACGTCTGTTGATCCTTGAAAAATTAATATTTTTTAAATAATCCACGTCTGTTGATCCTTGAAAAATTAATATTTTTTAAATAATCCACGTCTGTTGATCCTTGAAAAATTAATATT